CTGTATTATTATTTTTTATTGTTTTTTCCCCATCAGATATATTTAATTGATGGTCAGTTGAAGATGCAACAGATATTGAGGGCCAGATTTATATATTTGCATACACATATATGTACCTGTAAATACACATTATTGAAGGAAGTATGATAGCTTTTTATGGGAAATATATAGGATAAATGATTTAGTTTGGCAAATTTGGAGCATTTTTGATTAGGGAATATAAGATTTTATTAATCTTAATAATGTCTTACATAGTGCAACACTTCACAATTTTTTTCCAAAGTATTTTCTTGTTTTGGAATTGATCACTAATCTGAATAAGCACAGTGTTGCATCTGATTTTCTTTATTACCTTGTTATCTGCTTTCCCAACTTCTTCTCACCTCAGGCTTTTGACAAACTACGAGTCTTGACAGTGGTGATATGCAAGTGTTCTGCATTTGGAAATGTGTCACCTGTTCTTTTAAAGGTTATGTCAAATACCTTGGGCAGATTTTGTGAGTCATAGGCATCATCATGGTGGATAGGTAACATTGTAATATATAATAGATGGAAAGATAGTTGTTTTATGCTAATGTCAAGGTTTTCATATATATATATATATTTATATTTATTAGAGCTTTGTACTTATACATAGTAGTTGGGTTCATCCTATGCATGCATGGAAATAGATTTCAGTTAAGGTTTTTATCTTTAATGTTTTATAATTATTGTCCTTGAAACCTTAAAAAAAAATGAGAAAATAGGGCTGGGGTTGTGGTTCTGAGGTAGAGGGCTCGCCTAGCAAGCGTGAGACACTGCGTTCGATCCTCAGCACCACATAAAAATAAAATAAAGGTATTGTGTCCACCTATAACTAAAAAATAAATATTTTAAATAATTAGAAAATTGAAGAAACTTCCTTATTAGTTTCTAATAAAAATTATATTCTGACATTTAAGCAAAATCCTTCACTCCATTTAATTAACTCTTTTCACAAAAGCATATACATCTCATAAAATCTAAGATGTCAGAGAGCTAGCTGTAAGCATTAAAAATGTCATTCTTTTTCATCCATTCTCACTACCTGGGCAGATAACAAATGAATAACAAGTGAAGCCTAACAAAGGGAAATTATAAGAAAGTGTATTGAGAAAATAGTTGATTAAAAGAATGGACATTTAGAAGGAAAGAATTTTCCATACCCAAATGAGATGGTTATGAGATGGCTTAGCATGCATTTTATAATTTAAACTTGAATAGGATACATTTTAGAAAAGATGAATTGATTTCTGTCTAAATTGTGTTGTGAAACTTAATTATTAGATATAGAATAATAATCCATCTCTGTTCTTTAACCAAATCCTGTTGGTTCTTTCTACTTTGGCTTTCTCATCTGTAAATGGGGATAATATTGATCTTAAATTTTTGTTAAGAATTGATACTCTTATGCTCTTTAATGAGTTTTACTATACTTTTAAGAAATCAATCTTCACAAACTGGATTCCCTAAAATATTTGCTTTAGATTCCATAGTACGAATGAAATGTTTGTAATACTAAATATAGTTAGCCTTTTACATATGAAAAGTTTGTACTGTGAGTGGATTAGTTTCTTTTAAAAAGAAAGAAAATGATTTAGGTTTTTTAGAAGAAAATTTTATTAGGTCTCATCTATGCAATAGTTTTTTTTCCCCTAATACTACGTATAGAACCAGGACCACTTGTCTCATGCATGCTAGGCAAATGCTCTACCGTTGAAGTACAACCCAACCACTGCTATTTTTCATTTTGAGACAGGGTCCCCTAAGCTAGCCTTCAAGTTCTAATCCTCCCTCACCTCCTTAGTAGTTGGGATTACAGATGTCTATCACACCCAGCTAGGCAGATAGTTTTGACTAATTTTTTAGAATAAGAGAACTTTGAATAGTCACTGGTATTGTCATATTTTTGCTTCTTAAAGAATAAAACTGAATGGTGTGTAGAAAGTGGTGGAATTACTTGGTCACTTTATATGTGAGCCTTTAGGAAAGAGGACTTATAATTCATTACTAGCCTGAATTTTTGTACCATATTTAAAAATTATATACCATGCAAACCCTCCATATATGTGAGCATGGTTTCATTATTAAATTCAATAACTTAGAATTTTATTTACAAAAGAAATGTTTAGATCACCGAATAGGTAATTTAATTTATGAATTAAAAAATAAATTCTATTTTTCTAAACAATAAAAATGTAAAATTATGTAAAGAAATATTTGGAGTCACTAACTAGTAACACAAAGGAAATGTTTATTAAAAGATTTTCTAGTTGAATCTAAAGTATAAATTTTTTTTCTAGTCCTTCAGTTTTGTCTCTTTATTCTGATTCTTTTACTTGGTCAAAGAGTATTTCTGTTGGCTTAATTTGCTGCCCTCTCCTGTCTTCTCTTCTTTTAAGTTTGTCTCTTATTTTATGTTATACATACGTATCTTCTTTCTGGACACCGCTTTTCTGTAGTGTATGCTTACATGATAATTTACATCCCTTATTTTTTTTTTTTTCAGACAATGTTCAAGAACTTTTACTTTTGCCTTTCCCTAGACTTATCACTCTCCCTGATGTAATAGGATTTGTTCTTTACCCACTTGCAATTTATTTGTCCCTTTCTTTGTGTCTTTTTGTATTAAGCAGATGGCATGAACCGTGTACATGAATTCCTTAATTCCTCTTACCATTTTCAAAACCAAGCTTGAACTATTATTTTCTTTTTCTTAAAATTTGGTACCAGGGATTCAACTCAGGGGCACTGGACCACTGAGTCACACCCCCAGTTCTATTTTGTATTTTATTTAGAGACAGAGTCTCACTGAGTTGTTCAGCGCCTCGCTTTTGCTGAGGCTGGCTTTGAACTCTTTTTTTTTAAAAAATATTTTAGTTGTAGTTGGACACAATACCTTTATTTATTTATTTATTTTTATGTGGTGCTGAGGATTGAACCCAGAGCCCACAGGTGCTAGGTGAGTGCTCTACCACTGAGCCACAATCCCAGCCCCTGGCTTTGAAGTTCGAGCTGCTGGGATTACAGGCATGCACCACCCGGGACGAACTGTTATTTTTATTTATTTATTTATTTATTTATTTTTAAATTTTTTATTGTTGGTTGTTCAAAACATTACAAATTTCTTGATATATCATATTTCACACTTTGATTCAAGTGGGTATGAACTGTTATTTTTAAGGATCGTACTAGCTAGCCCAATCTGATTTTGCTCATTTTTTTTTCTTTTTATAAGTGGTGCATTTAAGAAAGTTTTTATGTTAATTCTTGTTTGTTTTGATTTTTGGTACTGGAAATCAAACCCATAACCTCTGCTACTGAGCTGGTATCCATAGCTCTTATTAATCCATTTTTTGCTTGTGCATTATAGGAAGACTCTTTATTTATTTTTTTCTGGTGTGTGTGTTTCATTTAGATTAGAGTCTATTTAAGGTAAGGAGGTTTGATTGTCCTTATTTCTGTATTTTCCCCTTCCTGCACACTAACATAATCCAATATCCACTGATTGACTCATCAAGGTGCTTATTGTGGCTTCTTGGCTATTTTTCTCAAAGGTGTGAGTTAAAATTCTGATCTATGTTTTATGTGTAAATCAGTTGACTTAAAATGTTCAATATTAATTGTAACACCACCACTGAGACTAGTCTTTGACATTTGATATGCTGGTTGATATAGTTCTTTGGAAGGTATTATTTTTATAGTTTATACTTGACAGTGTTGAATAAAATAAAAAGCAGGTAAGTGAAATCTTTAGATCATTATTTTTATATCTCTACAAAGAAATTTAAATTAGTCTTAGCTGGTAGCTCTAAAAAATGGTCTTTTTGTCAAGAAGAGAAGAAAAATGCTGTCAATATGATAAGCCTACTAGAGCAATAGATGATATTCTTATGCTAAAGCTCTTTCTAACCATGAAGTTGCTAATCCAGAATCAGAATTGGCATAGTATATTGTTATCTTTCTTCCAACAGAAATTATTTGAAATAAGTTTTAATTTTTTAATGAAAATGAAAGTTATTGTGTATGGAATAGTTTTTAAAATTTCTTTCTCAACAAATTTATTTTTGGAGTATAGGAAAGCTATTGATTTTTGTATGTTGGTCTTGTATCTTGGTATTTGGCTAAATTTGTTTATGAAATCAGATGTCTTCTGGGGGAATTTTTTTTTGATGGGGAGAGAGGGTCCTGAAGGTATAGAATCATGTCATTAGCAAACAGAAATAGTTGGACTTCCTATTTGTATCCCTTTAATTTTCTTCTCTTGCCTGCTTGCTCTGGCTAGAGTTTAAAGAACTCTATTGGATAGGAGTGGTGAATGTGGACATCCTTGTCTTGCTCCTTATTTTAGAGGAAATATTTTTAGTTCTTCTCTATTCAGTATGATGTTGACTTTGGTTTTGTCAAAAATAACCTTTATGATGATAAGGTAAGTTTCTTCTATCCCTAGATTCTCCAGTGTTTTTAACATGAATGAGCGTGAAGTTTTTCAGTCTTTTTCTGCAGCTCTTGCAATAATTATGTGATTTTTGTTCTTGATTCTACATTGCATACCCCAAATAATCCGTTAGATTTTATTTTATTTTATTTTTTGCAGTAGTGGGGATTGAACCAAGGGGTGCTCTACTATTAAGCTATGTCCCACACCTTTTGTGAAAAAGTGTTCTGTTTTGAGAAAGGGCCTACCCAAGTTGCCCAGGCTGGCCTTCTGCAACAGCCTTCTGAGTTGCTGGGATTACAGGCAAGTGCCACCACTCCTGGCTAGGAATCCAGTAGTGTTTTCATTTTGTGTCAGCGTTTTCATGGCAATTCTTATGTTGTATTAGTAGAGTTTAGTCATGTGGACCAATCATAAAACCACAAGTTAATATTTAGTAATTCTTAAATATTTTATTGTTTTATATTTGTAATATCGACTAAGACAATATTGGAATAATTAGAAGTACTAGGAAAAGAAATACATTTTTAAATTGATATTTCAGAACTTGTCGGAAAAGTTGCTGAAGAAGGAATTGGATTACACCCAGTTAGAGGAGAAATATAATGAAGAATCTGTGAGTAAAAAGAATATACAGGCAACCCTTCATCAAAAAGACCTAGATTGTCAACAGCTTCAGTCAAGGTTATCTGCATCTGAAACCTCACTGCAGAGAATACAGGCAGAACTAAGTGAAAAAGGAGAGGCAACCCACAAGCTCAAAGAAGAATTATCTGAAGTAGAGACTAAGTACCAGCATCTTAAGGCAGAGTTGAAACAGCTACAGCAACAGAGAGAAGAAAAGGAGCAGCATGGGTTACAACTCCAAAGTGAAATTAATCAAGTAAGTGATATTAGTTTTATTTATTGTAATTCTCCTTATGGTTTCTTCTTAGTCATGCAGACCAATCACAAAACCACAAGTTAATATTTAATAATTTTTAAATATTTTCACTGTTTTATATTTGTAATATTGACTAAGATAATATTGGAGTAATTAGAAGTATTAGGAAAAGAAATACATTTTAAAATTAATATTTTAGAAATTGTCAGGAAAGTTGCTGAAGAAAGAATTGTATTACACCCAGTTAGAGGAGAAATATAATGAAGTTATTGATCATAATATAATTCATGTTAAAAAAACTATCATTTAAAAAATTAATTCTTTATTTTCTATATTTCTTAGTACTATCAGATCTCATATGCTTCAATTTCAATTTCCCTTAGGAAAACAAAAGTTAATATCCATTTTACAGCATTGTTGTGAAGCATTTATAAATTAACACATATAAATTGCTTAGAATGGTACCTGGTACATGGTAGGTACTTACTGGGTTTTAGCTACTATAATTAATTGTTGACCACTCTTTAATTTAAAAATTCACCTTTTTCCTTTTTTTGCTACTAACTTTTAACAGCATAATAAAACCACCAGTATAAAAATTAGACATTTTAAAAGTGGAAGACAAATTATAAAACTATTTAATAGATAAATAATACCTACCTGATAAAGTTTGATACAAGTTCTGATTTTGCCATTAACTTATTTTTTAATGCCTATTCTAATTATTGCTTATAGATAACATAAAATTTGATTGAAAAATGGAAGAGATTAAAATTCTGATGGAGATTAAAGTTCTCACATTTAAAAATTTTTCATTTACTTTTACTTAATTAAGTAGCAATGATATTTTATTGTAATCAGTTATTCTCATGGCTTTCCTACTCCTTTATAATGATGATTATGATAGTCATTTATTGAGCTTCAGTCATGTTTCAGGAATTAGAGTAAATACTTCATATTTACTGTCACTAAGTTTTGAGATTAGACTGACCATGAGACAATGGATCAGAATAGTTAGGAATTTTTCTCTAGCTTATCCTTGCTTGCTGTCTTTCCACTGCCCTGACCTTTCAATTGTATGTGTAAACCACTATAACAACTTCCATTTAGCCACCAAAATAATCTGTTTTAAAAGCAAATCTTACCATGTTCCCAATCTGCTTATACCCTCTAATAGTTCTTATGTCCCAACAGATGAAGTTCAATGTTTGTTATGATATGGAGCACCCCCAGTGATTTGTTGGCATACCCACTAAGTTCTGTACAATTCTTTATTTTATTTTCCCCTGCAAGAATACAGAAGTGTTTTTATTTTTTTCTTTAAGTTATACTATATCTTTATTTTGTACTATTCATTCTGTTTTCTTGATCTGAAATATTCTTCCTGTTTCTCTTGACCTTGATAAATTCTACTTACTTCTCATCACTTTTCTAGACATCCCTTTGTAAACACCCCATTGCTCCTTCTACCCCCAAGATGGCTAAGGCATGCACAAACTGTGAATATTTTAGTTGCCACAGTGGATTATATTATCATAATTTATGTTTTCATTAGACTGAACTCTTTGGATGCAAAGACCATGTCTTATTCATTTTTTAAAAATCCTTAGTACTTGGCACATACTTAGCAAATGTTACAGGGAATAAGTGAGTGAAGGAATAGATGAAGGCATTCATAATGGGGGGAAAGTGAGGCTTGATAATATTAGTATATAACTTGAAAATAAATTTTGTTTTTACTTTAGTTCACATATACAAATTTAGCATTTATGCTTTCTAAAAGACACCGTTGCCTCATTTGTTAAGGGATACAGAAGCAAATGGGAAATGGTACCTGCCTTTAGTGATGATGTATACATAATCTCAAGGGGAGGATAAGGCAAGTATTATCCCATACCATGATCATGATAATCATAATATAATAATCCCATATACTATGGGAATTTGAACGAGTTCCTCACTTCTGTTTTTTTTTTTTCATTGTAGTACTTCCCTTTATGCATTTTTTTTAAACCTAATTATATGATCAGGAAAAGCTTTGTATGTATGAGAGCTGTTCCTTGAAATTGTAATATTGAATAGGTTTTAACACATAGCAGTTTGAAAGCAGGAGAGTCTTCCTGCCAGAAGGATTAGTAAGAAGCAACTAGTGGCAGAAAAATATCACAAAAAGAAAGGACAGGGACTGGGGCTTGCCCCAGCTTGCCTAGCATGCGTGAGGCACTGGGTTCAATCCTCAGCACGACATAAAAATAAACAAAAAAATAAAGGCATTCTGTCCATCTACAACTACCAAAAAAAAAAAAAAAATATATATATATATATATATATATATATATATATTAAAATATATATATATAATATATATATTAAAAATTATATTTTTTTTTTTGAAAAGGACATTGATTTGTTCTTAGGTAAGGTCTATATAATAGGAGTATATATTATTTCCAGAAAGAGCATATGAGAATTTATTATGTAGGGTGCTCAACAGTAGGTCTAGAAATTTTTGCTTTAGTTGGTTGTCAGTGGGTGGAGGGGCATTAAGGAATTTTGAGAGCCCACTTAAACACAATGAGACTTGAATTTATGATTATTTGATTTAGTCACCATTTTATGTAAAATAAAGAGGTCATACTGAAGACCTTGAAGTGATGCCATTTATCTTCTTTCTCTCAGCATGTTGTCTGTATTCTACCTTCAAAATATGTTTCAAATCTTTGCATTTCTATCCATCTACACTGCCAGCATTCTTAATCTAAGCTACCATCTTGCCTACCTGGAATACTGTATTACGCTTCTCACAGTTTCCCTTTTAGTGGTCTCCTTAATGGATTCTCCATATAGAAGCCAGAAGTACCTTTTTAAAGCATGTAAGTTTAATCCTCTGCTTAATGCTTTCACTTGCCTAGTGGTTTTTCATTACACTTTCAATTGATTCCAGCCTTCTTTCTTTGGCATGTGCACTTCTGTGTATATAGTGTTGCCTATGTTATGGCTTCAGGCTCCTCCCAGACCATTGTGAATCCATGTTGATTTCAGTTCCTCAAACACACCAACACTTCAAGCTGTTTTCTATCTTAAGTTCTTTACCTATGTTTTCTTCCTCCTCCTCCCTATCCTTTCTTTCCTCTTTCTCTTATAGTTCCTCTAGTCCTCCTCCTTTTCTTCCTCTTTGTCTTCCTTTTCTTCCTCCGCTTCCTCTCCTTCCTCTCTTCCTCCTCCTCCTTCTTCTTTATTTTTCCTTCTTCATGTTTTATGGGTGTTTTTTTTTTTTCAAGGTACTAGGAATCGAACCTAGGCACTCATGCTTAATATTAAACACACTTGATTTTGTGTGTTAATGAGATTTACGTGCTAACTGTTCTTAGTGCGTAAGCCTTGCCAAACGTCTTGCATACTCATCTCCACACTCCTAGCATAGTAATGCTTCTGAAATTAATACAGACTTTTTTCCTTTTTGTTTTAATGAAAAGAGTAAAAAGGAAATCTCCCTACCCCTTCAAGGAAAAACCCAATAGTTATTCTGGTTGTATTAATACAACCAAAACAAATCATTCTGTTGTTAATACAACCACATCATTTGAAAAAGTGGTGGTTCTTAGCTCCAGAGAAAATGGCTCCTGTAACTCATTAGGGTTTTGTTTTGGTGCTGGGGGCTGAACCCAGGGACTTAAATGTGATAGGCAATTGCTCTACCACTGAGCTATATATACCCCTAGTCTCTTGTTGACATTTCTTAGGTTAATAAATGAGGATCACTTAATGTTTTCCTTTAAAACATATAGTTGTTTTCTACATTTTATTTAGAAATTGCATGCCAATTTGAGCACTGGAGAATTCTTTGAGCTCTGTTCAATACCCAAGTTTAAGAAGTCAACTGTGGTGGTTCTTAACATAGAAATGCAGCAGGAATCACTGTGGATCTTTGAAAAATACTGTCAAATTTCATTTTATTATTTTAAGTTCCTCAAGTTATGGCAATACTTACATCCAAACAAGAGCCCTTGGTCCCGTTTATGTTTTTTAAGAAAGCAATGAAACTATTATGAGCAATAAAATCTATAATGCTTAGTCATAATTTTATGTGATTAAAATTCACTTGCAGATTAAATTATTATATAAGATCTTAGGTTTCTGCAAATTGTCATGAAAATTAAGATAGTATGCTTCTATTGGTGAAAAAGAAATATTGTTTTGAAAGTAGGTGGTAGTGTGTGTGTATGTGTTTACATACATGCACATATATGTACTTTTATTTATTTATTTTTTAAGTTACACAGCAAACTTCTGGAAACTGAGCGCCAACTTGGGGAAGCTCATGGTAGGCTGAAGGAGCAGAGACAGCTTTCCAGTGAAAAGTTGATGGATAGAGAACAACAAGTGGCTGACTTACAGCTCAAACTTTCTCGTTTAGAAGAAGAGGTAAGCTAGGCTTTCAAATGAGTTGATATTAGCAACTTTATTGATGAACTTGAGACATCTTTTGTTTTTGTAGTACTGGAGATTGAACCCAGGGATACTGTACCACTGAGCTACATTCCAAGTCCTTGTAAATTTTTTGACAGGGCTTTGCTAAATGATTGAGGCCGACCTCAAACTTACCTCCTGCTTCAGCCTCCCCTGTTGATGGGATTATAGATGTGTGCCCATTTGCCTGGCATGAAGCATCTTAAATATGGTTGTGATTCATCAGTATTTTGTCAACAACTTTACTTGTTTTTCTACTTTCAACTGCAACATTTACTTTTCCCCAATGAAAATATCCTGCTTATTAACTATATTAAATCACTACATTTTACTACAACTGTATTTTCCCAAAGTTCTCAACAAAGTAGCACAAAGAAAACTCTTTTTCAGCTAGGTAGGAAAAATTCTGGGGTTTACCTTCTGTCAGGCTGCTGGAGTGAAACAGAGAGCAATGAATAGTTGGTGAGGATCATTGATGACATGTAGTTTGTGCATATAAACTTTACATGTAAGGATGTTCACTTTAAAAATTAGGTATGTGATTATTATTCTAATTCAAGTTGTAATTGTTCAACATGGTACCCACTGTATGATTAAAGGGAAAGTTATCATTAAGTTATGTCTTTTATTTGAGTTGAATAAATATTCAGAATTAAAATCTATAGTTTTAGTAATAAATTTTCTTTTAAGCTGAAATCTTAGCTATAGTATGTGATCTGATTTTTTTTTCCCAATGAAGTGACTATTAGAGAAAAAAATGAAGTGCTGATTCTGTGGTTTAGATTGTTGTTAAAAAACAAATTATATGTAATTAATTGTTCATATTGTTCATATTGGTATACAAAAACAATATTGAACAGATGCTAACCTAGAGAAAGATTTGTATTTTTTTAGGATAAAAGTCTATCACTAGAGAATAGTTTATTCATTATGAGATGATGATTCTATAAATGTCACATTTTTTTTTAATCTATTCATCTATTGAAGGGCATCTAGATTGGTTCCACAGTCTAGCTATTGTGAATTGTGCTGCTATGAACATCGATGTAACTGTATCCCTATAGTACGCTCTTTTTAGGTCTTTGAGGAATAGTCCGAGAAGGGGAATAGCTGGGTTGAATGGTGGTTCCATTCCCAGCTTTCCAAGGGAGATGATGATTCTATAGGTAATAATATATTGCTTTTAAAATTGATATCTTCCAGGCTGAATTTATTTTTGTGTTCATATTTGAAAATTGAAGTAATGCCAAATATTTATGAATGGTAGCATTATGCCTTTAAGTTGTCAACTGACAGTCTACATTTTTTTTTTAAGTTGAAGGAAAAAGTAACAAATTCCACAGAGTTGCAGCATCAGTTAGATAAAACCAAGCAACAGCATCAAGAACAACAAGCTCTTCAGCAAAGCACTACAGCAAAACTTCGAGAAGCTCAGGTAAAAATTATTTGAATAATTAATCTTTTAAACAAAATTTAAACCAAACCATTATTATGTTGTGATAAAACTAGATAATACAAAATACTTGATTATGAAGAATTTTGGGGAGTTCTCAGTTTCTAGATAATCAGAAAATTCTCTTTTTTGATTATTTTGTTGAAAAGCTAAAATACCTTAAAACTATTTACTAGAAACAAATTTGTTATTTATGGTAAATTATATAAAATATTTAAATTTATGAAATTTATTAGGAAAATTGATCTATTAAATATAACTAGTTAAGTAAATTATATTTAAATGATTGATAAATAATTATTTATTACTGAAATACCTTATTTGAAAAATCAAATATATTCAAACGCAGTTTTCCTATTGGTAACTCAGTAAAAAAGAACATTTTGTATTTTCTATAGAAGAATTCAGTATTTTTGGTCATTTATTTCTTCTTCCTTTTTTTTTTTATGGTGCTGGGGATCGGACCCAAGGCCTTGTGCATGCAAGGCAAGCACTCTACCAGCTGAGCTTTATCCCCAGCCTGTCTTTTATTTCTTCTTACCTATCATCTGAATATTGGAATTGTAGGCATAGAAAATGTAATTGATTGGGTTAAATTTATAGCTTAGAAGATTGAGAGTTTAGTTTTTGTTTTGTTATGATAAAGGAAGGATACCTAAATGTTTGAAGTGAATTTGACTTTGATATTCATTTATTCCTTTATACTTTCATTAATTCATTGACTATTACTGAGCACTGTGTGTCAGACACTGTGCTCAGCACTGAGAATAGAAGCAGCAGAGTGCCTGCCCTCTAGAAAATGACAATCTAATGATGTGTACATAGGAATAATCTTGGAGTGTGAAGAAAGCAGTAATCTCTTTTCCTTTTGAGTTTGGAGTGTGACATGAGAGTAAGAGAAATAGATGTCAAAATTTTGGATTGATTTATCTGTTCTTTGACTCAGTTAATAAGTATTCATTTATGTCTACTCTCAGCCAAGGAGCTGATTTTGTGTCTGTAGAAGCAAACCAAACAAACAAAATGTCTGTTTTCATGCAGCTTAGTGAGGGAAGCCAATAACAACTAAGTTAAATAAACAAAATATGTAGTATGTTATACATTAATAATTGCTATAGAGATGTAAAAATGAGGGATGAGGAGTAGGAAGTATGTAGAGGCTGAAAATGACACTGTAGTGCTTGGTAGGGTTGCTAAGGAAGGCCTCCCTAAAAAGATGAAAGACCTGAAGGAGGGTATGAGCTTTGTGATTGTCAGAGGGAAGACCATTAGTAGTACCTTAGAAGGTCCTGAGGCAGTAACAAGTCTTAATAGGAAGGCAGTAGTGGACTGGTCAGATTCTAGTTGTATTTTAAAAGTAAAGCTGACCAATTTACTGATGGGTCAATGTAGAATATTGAGAGAAGAGTCAAGGATGATTCCAGGGAAGGATGGAGGTCAAGCAAGATGAAAACTGAGAATCCCATTGGATTTGGCAGCATGGAGGACTTTAATAACCTTGATGATGAGAGCAATTTAAATGGAGAGGGTGGGATGATAACCTGGTTGGAGAAAGTTCAAGAGAGAATGGGAAGAGAGAAGTTTGATAAAGTAAATACAGATGGCTTTGAGATTTTATCATAAAGGTTAGGAAAGAAATGGGATAGTAAATCTAGCATGCACAATTTGGCACAGGTCAGCAATCAAGTAGGTGTTCTTATACTGTACCCTTTTCTTATACTGAATTTCCATCTTTGTCTATAGCTGGGAACTTGATCTAGGGAGTATTTTTGAGACTAAGAGAAGGCATAAACATGTTTCTAGTTTAGGACAAAGAGACAGGTAAGGATGAGTTATTAAGGATACTGGAAAAAAAGTGAGGAATTAGATAATAATAATAATAAACTATAATATCACTCATACAATGGAGGGATGAGTTTGAATTTATCCTGAAGCTTGAGGGAATAAGATAAATATGGAGAGAGAGACACATACATATGCATAAATAATTGTATAGATAAAAGATTGAAAAATCAAGATAGATCATTCCTGAGAAATCTTGTATTTCAAGATAAAGTTGGATAGCAATAGCTGACTATCTGGCAAGCTTCAACTGAGAATGTGGAGAACATATTGAAGCTTTTAAATAGTTATTGAGGAGGCCCTGGGTGTGGTTCCTCACACCTGTAATCCCAGCGGCTCCTGAGGCTGAGATAAGAGGATTGTGAGTTCAAATCCAGCCTCAACTCAATGAGACCCTGTCTCTAAATAAAATACAAAATAGGGCTGGGGATGTGGCTTAGTGGTCGAGTGCCCCTGAGTTCAATCCCCGGTACCAAAAAAAAAAAAAAGTTATTGAGGAGAATGTTTGAGGGTAGGACCTTATTTAAATGAAAGGGTTGAAAAGATGCCTATGAGTATATTGTAGAGATTGGAATCTAGACATTTATAATGACCTAAACCTGGAAAAATGGAAGTTTGTGCCTTTATTCTGAGAGTGCTTAGAAGTATAGAATTAGAAAAAGCAAAATTGCAACATTGATATAGATTAGGCTCTTTTGGGGTGATTGATTTGGAAATTTTGAGGTGAAAGGAAATGGGGGATGTTAGAATAAAGTTATTTCATATCCTTGTATGGGGTTTAGGAAGAGAAGTTTGGTATAGTGTAAGTAAGTGAGGAGGAGATGAGGTCTCTGACATTGAAGATGAGAATGAGGTCATGAAATTGGAAGATAGGAAGTTGTGGTTACAGGGTAAGATAGTTGGAATTTTTTAGCTGGAATAATTTCAGTTTATTACAAGATCCTGTATAAGTAATTACAATGTAAAATGAGTTAAGGTCCAGGAATTAAGATGATATGCATGTTGAGGCTATGCTCTTAATTCTCTATGTATTTTGTATTTCTCAGGAAATTGGCAGAAATTGGGATTGAGAGAAAAACTAAATCAGGTCTCAAGTCTTCAGTGAATGAGGTAGGGATTTATAGATGATAGCAGCAAAGAGTAGAAGGTAGATAAGTGAGAATGGCATACTTTCTAAAAGCATCACATAGCTTTTACCCGAGGCAGCGAGTAATAGCAGTGAAACACCAGGGGAAGGTTGGCCTCCTCTCCGTGCCCATTGGAGTAAGTCTCCCTGAATAGAGAAGACGAGGGGAATTGGAATCTGTAAAAGGAGAACCAAATTTCAGTTAAGATGTGAAAACAGAGAGACTGTTCTGGAAGAAAGCTTTTTCCTGGAACTGTGGATCCAGAAGATTAGTAGAATGTGGAGAGAGGGCTAATTGGTGGCAGGAACAAAAGCTGAGAGCAAAGAGGTTGGACACGAGTGAATCTTAGAGGGATGAGAAGATGTTTGAAAGTGATTCACCTTCAAATATTTTAATACTGACACAAATCATTGAGGGGACCAGGGGTCTGGGGACTGCCTCAGCAAGAGAGTGTTCACAGGGGATGGATAGTGCCTTGTTCTGGGTAGAGGTTCTCTGACTCTCATAAAAGGATTGAGGCAGAGGCAAAGGCTATGGTGTCAAATAGCTTGAGAAAGTGGGTATTATTCTGGATGTGGGCTGTTGAATTGTGCTCTGGGAAACATTAAGATTCTTGTTAAAAGTAAAAGAAGAGGTGTCTCTTAAGTTATCAAAAGAAGAGTCCTATTGAGGTATTGAAATAAGCCTGTACCTGTGGGTTAGAGTGTAATAATTTTTAAAAATTAGCTCAACAAATGTTTTTGAATCCTTGTGTTAGATATCTTGGATGTACATCAGTGAATAAAGCAGGAAAGAAAAGTACTCATCCTTGTGCAGCATATATTCTAATGCTGGAGATGGAAGGAGGCAGATAAACATGAAAAACACATCAATTATTTAGTGTATTAGAGATAAGTCCAATGAAAAGAGAAAAATAGCCAGAATACAAAGTATTAGGAAAGGCTACAATTTTAAATGTAGTGGTCAGGGTAGGTCTGATTAAGAAGTGACAATTGAGCAAACACATGAAGGAGAGGGAGCGTTTCTGTGAGGGAAGCATTTCAGACAGAAGGACTATTAGTGCAAGGCTCTGAGGTGGCAATGTGCCTGGTGTGATCAAGAATAATGAATCCCATGTGTCTGAAATGGGTCAGACAGTGATAAGAGGTGATGTTAGAGAGTTATGAAAAAAATGTAGTTAGTTAAAGATTTCTTTTTGATAAATTCTAGTTTATTATCAATTATATAGATTTATATTATTAACTATTTCTAATTAAATTTGTCATATTAAAATATAATAAGTATTTTAAAATATAAGACTTAAGAGTTTGAGTGATAAAATTTATTATCAGTCATTCTTTGTTTAAGGAATAACTTCTTGAATTCTTTATCCTTAAAATGTTAGTTTTTCAATTCTTTACAGAATGATTTGGAACAAGTCCTACGTCAAATTGGTGATAAGGACCAAAAGATACAGAACCTTGAAGCCTTATTGCAGAAGAGTAAAGAAAATATTTCATTACTAGAAAAGGAAAGAGAAGATCTTTATGCAAAAATTCAGGCTGGGGAAGGAGAGACTGCTGTTCTTCACCAGTTGCAAGAAAAAAACCATATGTTACAGGAGCAAGTAAGCTTGTAAAATGTATTTTATTTATAAGATTTACTTTTATCTCTCTAAATCTCATTAAGTGTTTTGTTTGAATGACTCATCATCCTGGCTTTTTTTTCTACATTTAAAATCCTGTGTATTTTTGACATAAAGCATTTTATTTATCCCAGAGGTTGGTTATGTTACTGCGGTAGTAAAAGTTAGTTAACATGATGTGACATAGGAAATCCTCAGTTAATGTTCTAGGATGTAACTTTCTAAACTGTAAACTATAGTAAATTATTTCACCTCATTAGCTTATTGGAAAAGTGGTGATGTTATTAATAGTGCATACTTGCCTTATAGCATTTTGTGTTATTTTAAAAAAGGAATGAATAACAAAATGTATTCCTAAGTTATAGGTACTAATCAAATACGAGTTGTTAGTGTGTATTAGTCAATATTCAGATTTAACATTTATTTATATTTTGATAATATATATCTTTGGACAATATATAGCTAATAATTTTTATAACTTGCCCTATTGTCACAAAATTCATATGTAGTTGAAGAAAAACATAAAATTTAAATAGTAATATTTTAAAACTGAAAATAATTGACAGTTGCTTTTTTGGAAGAATTATCTAGGAAGATAATTATTATTATCTAAATAAGAAAATATTAGCAAAGTGTCAGTAGGTTATATCACTTTTCTAGTTTTGGACTTAGAATATATATAGATTTCCCCCCAAATTTCTAAATTAGTTTTGAAGAATTCAAAATTTTTTTGGTTAGTTTTTATGAAAAATTGTCTACCCTATTTTTTAGTTATCTGCAATTTGACATTGCTCATCCTACAAATATGATCAGGAAAGTGATGCATTTTTTTAAAAGAATAAATTGACATACTTCTAGGGAAGCAACTGATGCATAGTTAGCCCCTCTGCCACCTAGAAAAGTGAAAAAACATGTATAAAGTCATTGCTTTCAGTGATCCCTGAGAGAAGAGAAACCATGGAGGTGAAATCTTTGACCACTCTACCGTTTGACCCGGAGACATTTTTCAGACTATGGTGAAGGTTGGGAGAATCTAAAGAAAACAGTGAGTTCACTGAGCTGGGGAGTGAAAGGTTGGTTTAAACTGAGAGACTGAAGTTCAGGGAGGTTAAGGCAGCTGGAAGGTTCATTTTGCAGAGAAAAAAACCAGGAAAGGAGGAGCAATGCAGAGAAAAAGTTCCAGAAACCTGTAAGGATCCACTGGAGGATTTGGTGGAATGCTAAGTTTTATATTAGAAGGTGAGATTCTGCAAGGCCTGACAATGAGCAATATCAGGGAGCTGAGACTGGAAAATTACCAGAGCCCACACAGGACTGGGAGATATTCAAGTGCCAGCAATCATAGAAGAAAGACATAGTTGAACAGTGGGGCATTCAGTAGAAATCCACACCAGAAATGTTACACCTTAGGAGAGAGTAAGGCTAAAGTAGCCCTAGTGTAAAAGCTTCTGTACACCTGACCTAACAAAATGTAAACCGCAGCCTTGAAAGGGCCCAAATGAACCACAGATGTATTAACTATTTACTGGAACAAAGCTTACGATTCTGTAAAAGAATGCAACAAAATCCAGATTGGTCATGATAAATAACAAAAAAATTACTAGAAATATGAATAAACAGAAAAAAATGTGAGTCATAACCAGGAGAAAAATCATCTAATGGAAACAGATTCTGAAATGAAAGGTGATGGACTCATCAGATAAGTACTTAAAAACACATCTTAAAGTATGCTAATGGGGGGCTGGGGTTGTAGCTCTGTTGTATAGTACTTGCCTAGCATGTGTGAGGCACTGGGTTTGATCCTCAGCACCACATTAAAAATAAATAAATAAATAAATAAATGTATTGTGTCCATCTACAACTAAAATAATTGGTAATAATTTTAAAAAAGAATATGCTTATGGGTATAAAGGAAAAACTATAATAACAGAGATAGAAGTGGAAACATTCAAGAACAACGAAATGGAATTTCTAGAGATAAAAATCTTAAAATACATGAAATAAAAATGTCATTGGATAGATTAAGCAAATAGAAAATAATGTCAGTGAACTTGAAGATAAGGCAATTGAAACTGTGCAAAATGAAGCAGAGAGAGAAAGAAAAAAAGACTAGGAGGAATTGCGGGTGAGAAGAGTGCCTTAATCTATGCGATAGTATCAAGTAGGCTACCATAATGTAATGAGAGTCACAGATGGGGCTGGGGAGAAATATATTTAAAGAAATAATAGCCAAAAAAAATTAAAATTTGAAAGTATAAATTCAAAAAATTCAAAAACTCCATAAACTCCAAACAAGGTACATAAAAAATTTCATCTAAATTTAAAAAGTTTGTTCTTCAAAATATACCATTTTGAAAATAAAAGCCAAGATTCCAACTGGGAGAAAATAACAATTTACAAATAGCCAGCATATATAAAGAAGTCTTGTTACTTGGTTAGAACATTGATTGTCCAAGGCTAGTGATGGGAGTTGGGAATGATTACAAAGGGGCATGAGGAATATTTTAGGATAATATGTTTTCTATGTTAATTATAGTGATGGTTAACGAAGGGTATACATTTATCAGATCTCAAATTAACAATTTAAATTAGATGAATTTTATTGCATGTAAATTATAGCTTCATAAAGAATATTAAAAATATGTGTGTTTGATGTTATTTCTTATGATTTGAGATCATGTTCATGTATCTTTGGAAAGATGTGAATAGTTTTACTTTAAAAACTTTGAGATAACATCATATAGGTTTAATATTCTCATGGTGCTTAAATCTGGGCTTCTTTGTTTTTGTTATATCATTTATGAACTTTATAATTAGAATCTTGCTTATATAATAGGTAACTCAACTGACAGAGAAGCTAAAGAATCAGTCGGAAAGTCATAAACAAGCCCAGGAGAATTTACATGACCAGGTACAAGAGCAGAAGGCACATCTTAGAGCTGCACAAGACCGTGTCCTCGCTCTAGAAACCAGTGTCAATGAATTAAATAGCCAATTAAATGAAAGCAAGGAGAAGGTCTCCCAGCTTGACATACAGGTAGTATGGAATCATGCTTTTTAATGAACTTATATGAATAGAGCACCAATTTTAGGCTGTCAAATGTTTTGAATTCTTACTCTCCTTTTGCCTCACACATTAATAGAAAAATATTTGGAATAGAAATTAGATTTAAAAAATCGAAATCATTTATTGAACTTTTCTGTTTGGGCAGATTTTCTCTTTCTTCTTGTCTCCTCCCTGTTGCTCCTCTGCCCTTTAAGCATACTACATCTCCTGAAATTACTGAATCTTAGCTTTTTGTTTTGTTTTGATAAAGTCTTATTTTCTTTTTAATTTCAAATTAATTTGATATTATGCCATAAGGTCTCTGTTACATGTATTTTTTATTTTCATTTAAAAGATCTTCTTTAAATATTTGATTTTTAAAAAAGAACACCAATGTGTATTACTTTTAGTATTTTAATTCTATGCTTTCAGAAGTTTTGCTTGATGAGTAAATCATGGTATAGGAAATAAGACAAATTTGGAAAATTGGAAAATATGTCACATTAGTTGAAGCAAACTGTATTAAAAGATCATGGGCAATTATTGTGCACTAAAGTATTTTATGAATTTTTTGTTCTTCAGATAGAATGCCATGTGTAAATGAAGCTGAATTCTGAAAAAATCAGTTCTTTATAGTCACTGATATGCATTTATCATATTTGCTTCCTCTTGTTTAAAGTGTAAATTTCTTTAGTTTCACTTTTAATTCAATGTAGATATATATCTATATATAACCATTGTTTCTGAGAAAACAGAGTATTTAGTTACTAAGAAAGAATCTTAAAATTTTTTCCTGTCAGCTTAAAATTATTCCTACAATGTATTTTAAATTTCTTATGTTTATTGCTCCTCTCCTCAACCAGCTAAAAGAATGTCTTCCTGTGTTTTACCCTTTCTCAAAGTGTTTTAGTTCTAAATATGTGTTTATATTTTGTTTGCTTTTTGCTTGATTTTATTAAAGCTTATTATTTAAAACCTTGAGTTTTAATATGTAATTTCTTGATATTCTTATGAGGATTAAAAGTAAAACCCTTTAGGTGGGAAGTTATTGGGTAATAGTGAATTTCAAATGTAATCGTGGTTTGTCTAGGTGTTTTGTGTCCTTGGATTCTGGAAAAGTTTTCTTTGAAGCCATCATTTTTTTTTTTTTTTTCAAAGCATAGTTATTTAGTTTGTTGTTAACAGTGGTAGACTTTGGAGATTCACATTCACTTTGGCATGTCCTTTCTCAGGAAAAAAGTATACCATTTATTTTTTAACAAAAGGGTACTATAGTGTTTTGTTGTCATATAGGAACATTTTTTTCATTGTTTCTTCAAACATTATTAAGAGATTTTCCCCGTACCATTCCTATTTTGTGGATTTTCCCAGACATATCTTTCAATATCTAAATCCTTATTTTTCTTTTTAACAAAAAAGGACTTAATTTTTAAATAGTTTAGTGACAAAACCGATGTGCATTCAAGCAAGGGAATATCATCAACTAAATATGGAATAAAATAATGTGTAAATTTTGTTACAGATTAAAGCCAAAACTGAATTATTGCTATCAGCAGAAGCAGCAAAAACTGCTCAAAGAGCCGATCTTCAGAATCATTTGGACACAGCTCAGAAAGCATTACAAGATAAACAGCAGGTGGGGAAACTGATGCAATTTCATATTATAACCTAGTGCTTTGGTAGATAAATTTGTTGAACCCATTTATAAAATGATATGCAGTTTTATAAAGTCTTGTGATATAATTGTTTATCCTCTTTACTGCCTCTTGGAGTTCAGATCCATTTGAGAGTAAATGCAAGAGACAGATAGATGGAGACAAATATACCAGCTTTGCTTTTGATAAATCTCAACTGGTGCCAGGTGCGGTTGGGCTTCCTAATATTGTATTATGTTTCTTCACTGGCGGAGGCCTTATTGAGGAGCTGAAACATTTACTCCTAGTTATTGAATTGTTGCCTCCACCCATCAAGCACCAATGGTGCTTAGACCTCCACACTTACTTTTAGTAATTAAGCAAGGCCATGACCCAGATGTTCTTACTCTGGGATATAGGAAAAGAGAGCTATGTATTCCATCTCAGTTATGAGGAAGGACTGAGGGGCTGGATAGAATGTAGAAGTTACTTTTCTCAATACTTTTGGTATAATAGAAATTTCTATTTTAGGTCAAGATTAAGTGCTAGTAGATATTCTTAATGTTTTATTACGTATAACTTTTTAGAATTTACTTGATACTCAAGAAGTGATACTGGTTCTAGCTACTTTTTTTTGTTTTGATTTGAAGTATAACAAATTTGAAAAGCAAAACAAGACAGTTTTCTTTATTTGTCCTTTACGCCAATTCTTTTATTTTTCTTTTGAGATGGAATGTTTGCTATTAAATTTGGTATGTGTCCTTTCAGGCTTCTATAAGCATTGAAAAAAAATATGTATATTTAATTAATTATATATGTGTGCACGTAGGAATTTTTTTTAAAAAAACAAGAATCAGAGAATATATGTTGTTCTGCAACTTGCTTTTTACTTACAGTATTGCTCCATACATCTGGAAAATATTTTCTAAACATGAGATTAGAATCAGAAAGTAAAATGGAAAAAATATAAGAATGACCACATAAAACTCTAAAATTTATTGTGAAATATTATTACCCAAATTCTAAAGCAAATAGCAAAAAGACAACATTTTATGGAATATGCCTGATGAAGGGATAATAATCTAATTGTTTAAAACACTTTTTACATGGGAAATAAGTGAACCTACAAGAAAATACAGGCTTAGTATTGTTAATACAAAAATCTGAAGTCCCAAGTGTTGTAAAATCCAAAATTTATTGAGTTCTGACTTAATAGAGTTTGAAATATTTAAAATTTTGGATTTCTGATTAGTGGTGCTCAACCTGTAAAGGTCTGTGCAGATACTCCAAAATAAAAATCTGAAATATCAAACACTGATGGTTCCAAGCATTTCATTTTTTAAAAAATATTTTTTTTAGTTGTAGTTGGACACAATATATTTATTTTTATTTGGTGCCGAGGATCGAACCCAGTGTCTCACACGTTTGAGGTGGGCTCTCTTCCGCTGAGCTACAGCCCCAGCCTGGTTCCAAGCATTTCAATTAAGGCCTTCTCAAATTGTGTATATCTTCAAAACTGTATTAGGAAATACTCAAGTTTATTAAGAATCAGTTACAAATTGAAACAATAATGGAGTACAGTTACCTGTGTAGAGGAAAAGTATGTATTACTAGTGGAAGGATCAGAGATGGTGTGAAGAACAAGTCACTTTAGTACACTGCTGCTGATAGAATACATTAGTTCAACCTTTTAGATGGGGGAAGGGAGAGGGAGTTATTTGGCAATATATTTCAAGTGATCTATTCTTTAGATCACTTTTTTCATTCTAAGGGAATAATCATAGGTTTAAAGATTCTATTTGCATCTCTGTTAATATGGAGAAAATTTAGTAGCAATCCTAGAATTTAATGCAGGAGACTTAGCTAAGCAATAAACTATCAATAAAATGGAAATTCATGCAGTTGAGTACAATATTTTAAAAAATAATATCAGAAAGTTTTATGATGCATTGTTTTGTAAAGACATATGAGACTGAAATAATGTAAAGTAAGATCCTATTTTTATTTTAAAAATACACAAAGATATATAAATTATCATGTAGAAAAGACTAGAAAGAAAGTTATGAAACATTAACAGTGATTACCCCTGGGTAGTAGATTTATTAGTAATTTTTATTTTGTTCTCTCTGTGCAATTGGTGTTTCAAATGAATTAAAGAAACATACTAGATATAATCACTGTAATATTTTCAAAATATTATATTTTAAAATAGTATTTGGAATATTTTAAAACATTTATTTGTAATATAAAACTGATTTTTATTACTAGCCTCTTTAATATTATGATGTTTTAGCTCCTAAGATCACTTTCTACAAAAATATCAGAAGGTTATTTCACAGGGCTGGCTGTGTACTCAGTGGTAGAATGCTTGCCTAGCATGGAAAAGTCCTATTTTGTATCCCCAGAACCACAATCAAACAACAAAAAGTTATTTAACTGTTATATATAAAGTATCTCACGCTATGCACATTCCATTCAGGTCCTTTATATTGGTGGATCAAGATAGCTTCTGTTAAATTGTTATCTGGAATCTGACTCCAGATTTTTCTTCAATAAAATTAGTTTTCAATTTTGATTTGACTGAATATCTGGGCAATACAATGTAGTAAACCTTACCAAAGTTTTCATCAATTGTGCTTCTCTGTAGGAGTTGAATAAGATCACCTCTCAGTTGGATCAGGTCACTATAAAGTTACAGGATAAGCAAGAACACTGCATTCAGCTGGAAAGTCATCTTAAAGAATATAAAGAGAAACATCTCTCTTTAGAACAAAAAATTGAAGAGCTAGAAGGCCAAATTAAGGTATGTATAAAAGAAGTTGAATTTAGTCGTATTTTCCACTCAGTGGTGTTGGAATCTTATGACCTACATGGAATCAAAGATTTTTATTTAAGAAAGAAAGGTGAAGTTGTGGTATATAATTTCAAAAAATTATAATTTTTCATGTTTTAATTTTGAATTCCATCTTTACTTTTATTTTTTTGTGTTTTGGCATGTATTTTTATTAGTATATTATAGTTATACATAATAATGGGATTCATTTTGACATTCATAAATTCATTTCCATCTTTATTTTTAATTCCTTTATTAGTGGGTAGCTTTTATAAGTGACAATTAATATACATACTGATTTCCTTATAAAGTATTAACTATTTCTGAGAAATAACCAACAGGGATAATACAGGGATCTACTGTATAATTATAAGGAATTTATCAAATTTGGTTGTTGTAAAGTTTCTTTTATACCTTCATTTTTCCATTTTCCTTTCCTACTCTAATATAATATTTCAGATATGGTAGACTTTTTTTCCTTTTTAAACTTTGCATTTATAAACTTTGGATTTTGCTTCTAATCTAATAATACATGAAAGCCATGCTAAAATGAATCTTTAACACAATACCAAGTGAAGGTGTTGATTTACTAAGAGATGAAGTCATTGGACATATCAAAGAAGGATTTGATCTGAGTCTTTTGTCTTTTAAACTAGAACTATTATCAGTTAAACAAAAATTTCTCAAGTTACACTCTATATGGGCATGTGTATGTATGTGTGTCTGTACACACACACACACACACACACACACACACACACATATATATATATATATATATATATATATATATATATATATTACTTCTACTTCCATAATCAGGTGAATTGTGTATGTGATTATAGAATCACAAGATATGGATATGATATATGTGAGGAAATGATATTTATAATTCTGTTTGTGGGTTCTTTTGTTCCTTTTTCTTTTCTTTATGACCAATGATAGTAGTAATAGCACATCACTTTAGTTATGGTTGAAAAGAATGGAAATACAATTTTACTGAAAAGTATCTAATAATTCTATTTGGATACCTTTTAAAAAATAGTTGTTATTTAGAACTGAGAGTGTCTGTTGTGATCATCAGCTCTTTGACATTTTGTTATTAGTTTAGGAGGTATTCTGTATGTTTCACATAAACATTGCTGTAGAATTAATTTATGACATTGAAGATCTTTTGTGAATATTTTAATACAGGCATTAAGAGCCAAAGGTACCAATCAGTTTATAAAATATTTAAGTTTGCAAAATTATTATGACTATGTAAGAAATGTAGTACTTATAGATATCCAAACTTGTGTTTAGTGTTTTATTTTGTAAATTTGTAAAAATACACATGTAATTATATGTGTATGATGAGATGCATATTACATTCTGAAGAACAATAATATCTAAGTCAAGAGGTAATAAAGCAAAATCATGAACTAAATTGGCTTTATATTTTGGGTCAGTGGGTGTTAATGAGGAGGACTATATGACAACTCCATTTTAATTTTAAATATCATATAATTATTTCAGTGTTTTAAACTATGACTATTAAGAGAATGTATTTAAAGTGACCTGTTAGTGAATTTTTTTCAATTTATGTTAACCACTTTTACTCTAGTAATAAATGTTTAAGTTTGTTCTCTTCTTCAGAATTGATTTTAAAAGTAAACACTTAGTAAGTGCTTATTATGTATAAAGTATACACTAGATCCTAAAAAAGATTCTAAAATAAATTAACTCCTTACTCAGTAATGGTTTCAGAATGTTTATTGTAATATTTTTGTGTGTTATGTCAATACCAATTTGAATATAAGCAAAATATTACAGTAATAGTAGATTGATAATTTTCAACATTAAGTGACTGCTGTATTTCTTCCTCTTCCATAGAAACTAGAAGCTGATACTCTTGATGTTAAAGCAAGCAAGGAGCAAGCTTTGCATGATCTTCAACAGCAAAGGCAGCTGAACACAGATTTGGAGCTTAGAACTATAGAATTGAGTAAACAACTTGAAGCAGAGAAAGAAATGTAAGTTAAAGCCCCTATTTATAAATTAAGGGAGAGAAGAGGATTATAAATTAAATATTAAAATTTCCTTAAGATTTCAATTTTGCTGGGGCTGGGGATATAGTTGGTAGAGCGCTTGCTTTGCATGCATAATGCCCTGGGTTCAATCCCCAGAACCACAAATTGATGTTAATGTGAAAGAAAAATTAAACCATCATGATGTGGTTAAAGTTAATGTCACTAAAAAAAGGGCTAAAAACTTAATTTTATAAAATTTGTGCCAGATAGTCTCTTTTCTTTCTTTTTTTTTTTTTAAATTTTTTATTGTGGGTTGTTCAAAACATTACAAATTTCTTGACATATCATATTCCACACCTTGATTCAAGTGGGTTATGAACAGATAGTCTCTTTTCAATGATAACATGATACCTATTTTTATTGAGCAATTGTTTTGAGTTCTTGTCAGTTTGAATATATTAATATCAAAGTTTAAAATATAGGGATAGTTATGTGCACCACCCAAGAGCAGTGAGGTTTCTGCTTTGAAGTACTGTGCCAAGTTAAGGAATGGATCATTTCTTATAATAAATGATTTTCTTTTAGCTTTGTGATGCATTTTGGCAGATTTTTATTGAGACATAATGTTATTGAGCATAAGGGAAAGACCAGAATCAGCCCACATTCTTTTAAATTTTATTATTGAGGTAAAATGTACACACTTAAACACACAGATTTTTACATATACAATTTTGAATTTTAATAAATGTATGCTCTGTGTAACTGTGCTTCCTCCAATCCACCCCAATATGAAACACTTTTATCACTCTGAAGTTTCTTTATATATCCTCTGATACCTCCTGTGATTACCAGTTACCTTGAGTCCTGCTTCCTCAAATGTTGAAGTATAATACCAGAGAAGCCTTCCCAGGCAAGAGTAGAGGAGAAAGTAAGAAGCTTTATTAAAGGATAGTAAAACAGACTTCTCCTGGGTGGAAGAAGGGGATCCAAAGGCAGAATCCATGGGATGAAGCAGTCCTGTCCCTTTTATATGTCTAAAGTTTCCCTTGTTCTCCTGCATTCCTCTCCTGTGTCTTGTTCATTTCCCCTCATCCTGCATAATGACTGGGGGGATATGGCCAAGGGGTGAGCCTGTGGGCTGGAAAGCCCTAAGTGGAGTGCCAGGCAGAAGGGGAGTGGCAGCCCAGGGGGCATTGATTAGCAGCTCCGTGTCTGCTCCGGAGTTGCTTAATTAACGACTTTTTTGGGGAGGGGTAGTATCAAAGGGTTTTGGAGACGTGAACATTCCATTCTCCCAGGGGCTGTTTCCAATTTCCTGGACTCAAATGGGCTCCATTTTCTCTATCAGATTTCCTAGCTACACTAACTCCCTGTCTTTAAATCTGGCTTCACTTCTAGTCAATACCTTGCATTTTCTCTGTAGAAAATCACAGTTCTATTTTAGTCTCTATAGATTAATTTTGTTTTTGAATTTCATATAAGTACGATCATATAGTATATTCTTTTTGTGACTGGCTCTTTTTTACTTAGTGTTCTGCTTTTTAAAATTCACCCATGTAGTCGAATGAATTCATTCTTTTTATTTGTTACTGTTATTCCACTAAATCTACTATAATTTGTTTATTTTCTTGGTAATAGGTATTTTGGAATTGTTTCTAGTTTTTAGCTATTATGAAGAAAGATGCTATAAATATTCTCATAAAAGTAATTTTTGTGAAACTGCTGGGTCATGGTAGGGAAAGTGTGTTTTAAAAGTATATAAAATTGCCAAAAGTTTTTCCAAAGTGGTTGTACCATTTTATACTCCTACTAGGAATGTTGCAGTTGCTTCATATCCTTACTGATATTTGGTATTATCAGTTCTATTAATTTTGGCCATCTGCTGAGTGTGAAATGGGATCTCATTGTGGATTTTTGTGTTTTGTGTGTGTGTACCAGGGATTGAAATCAGGAATACTTAATCACTGAGCCACATTGCCAGCCCTTTCTGTTTTATTTATTTCTTTTTTAAATTTTGAGACAGGGTCTTGCTAAGTTGCTTTGGGCCTCACTAAGTTGCTGAAGCTAGCTTTGAACTTGCCTCAGCCTCCCAAGCCTCTGGGATTACAGGCATGTATTTCTCTTATGAGGCTCTTAATAGCCTTTCAAATGTTTTAACTTGTCTGTTAAATTATTTTAGCTATTTAAATTTTCCTATTAGGGTCTTTTTGTTATTGACTTCTTGGAGTTCTTTTTTATTATTAATATTTTTATTGAGACATAATAGCTGTACATCTTTATGAGGTGCATTATGATAATTCCATACATGCATACAATGTGTATGAACAGATCAGAGTAATAAGCACTTCCATGTCCTCATATTAAAACATTTATATGTGTTGGGAACTTTCATATATTTCTGTTATTTTGAAATATATTATAAATCATTATAACCAGTTACCCTACTGTGCTACAGAAGACCAGAAATATTTCTTTCTGTATTTTGGTGCCCCTTCTCCAACTTCTTTCCTTGGAGTTATTTGTATATTTGAAATGCAAATCTTTTGACAGACAGATGGGTATATAATAAAGCATTTTCTCCTAGTCATTGGCTTATCTTTAGTTCTTTTTGTTGTTGTTATTTTAAATATGGTATCTTTCAAAGAATAGAAGTATAAAATTTTGGTTAAATTCAATTTGTCATTTTTTCTTTTAGTTTTTATGTTTGTGTTATAAGAAACATTTGCTCATCCCTAGAATTTATGAAAAATTGTCCTAGTTTTATTTATTTATTTTAGAAGTTTTATAGTTTTTGTCTTTACATTTAGGTCAGGGATCTACCTTAAATTTATTTTTGTATGAAGATCTAAGGGAAGGAATCCAGGATAACTTTTTCCCCCATATATTATTAAATTGTTCAAGTACTGTTTGTTGGAAAAAATAAAAATAAAAAAAACTTTCCACCTATTAAGTGATTTGTCATCTTTGTCAAAAGCAATTTGTCTTACATTTGTGGCCTTTATTCTTTTCTGCTGATCTGCTAATCTATGTGTCTCTATGTATATTGACACCAATAGTACCATTCTATGTTGATAATCTACTTTTTTTTTTAGTTTTATGGTAAATCTCATATCAGTTATTTATCTGTATTCCTTCTAATGATTGTCTTGACTCTTCTTCATTGGTTTTCCATATAAATTTTCATATTAACTCATCCATTTCTATAAATAAAGCTGTTGGGTTTTGGTTGGCATTGCACTGAAACTATAAGTCAATTTGGGGGAGAATTGACATTTTAACAATACTGAATATTCTAATTCACAAAGATGTTATATATTTATCTACTATTTTTAATTTCTCTTGGTAGTATTTTTTTAAAAGGGATCTTGCACATCTTTTGTTAAATTTATTACTGAGGTTTATGTATTTTTCAGTGTTATTTTAAATTAAATTAATTTTTTTAAAAAAAATTAGTTTCATACTTGCTTGTGGCTACTATAAAATGCATTTTTTAATAGACTAAATGTCCATCCTTTAACCTTGTTAAATTTACTTTATAGTTTTATTCATTATTTTGTAGAATCCTTGAATTGTTTTTTGTTTTGTTTTGCTACCGGGAATTGAACTCAGGAGCGCTTGAGTACTGAGCCACATCTCCAGCCCTTTTTATATTTTAGAGATAGGGCCTAGCTAAATTGCTTAGGGCCTCACTTCCTGAGGCTGGCTTTGAACTTGCTATCCTCCTGCTTCTCATCCTCATGAGCCACTGGGATTACAGGCCTGCTCTACCACACCAAGAGAGATTTTTTTTTTTTTAAACTAGAAAAATGTTGCTACCTGTGAATAGAGATAATTTGCCTTCTTCCTTCCTGCTTTTTTTTTTTTTTTTTTAAATAAAGTCTTTTTCTTGATTTACTGTTGGCTGGGACTTCCAGTACAATTTTGAATATAAATTGTAATAACAGACATTCCTGCACTGTTACAATCTTAGGAAATAGTGTCTTACCAAGTTTGAGGTTAGCTATTGGTATTCTGTACATTCCTTTTATAAACATTCCTTTGTATATCTATTTTTGCTTAAACTTTTTAAAAAATTATGCCTGTGTTCTATTAACTTTTTTTCCTGCGTCTATTCGTATGATTATATAATGTTTCTTCTTTATTCTCTTTAGTGAATTGATTTCCTCATATTAAACCAATCTTGTTTTTCTGGAATAAATTCCATTGACCATGCTGTATTATCCTTTCAATATATTGTTTTTTGATTTATAAAACAGTTGGTCCTCCATATCTGTAGGTTCCACTTCTGTATATTTAACTGAGAATTGAAAATATTCAGAGAAAAAAGTTTTATCTGTGTTGAACATGTATAGACTGTTTCCACCTTGTCATTATTCTCTAAACAATAAACATAACAACTATTTACGTAGTCTTTACATGATATTACCTATTTTAAGCCATCTGAAGGTAAAGTATACTGGAGGATGTGCATAGGTTATATGCAAATACTATACCACTTTACATATAAAGAACTTGAGCAACTGCAAATTTTAGTATTTTGAAAGGGAGCCTGAAACCAATTTCAATGGATAATAAAAGACAACTGTACTTTGTTAAGAATTTTTCATGCATTCATGTTGCCTATTAGTTTGTAATATTTTTTAAAATATCATTATCAGGTTTTGGTATTATAGTTATACTAATCATAAAAAGGAATTAAGAAGTATTCCTTCCTCCCAAACTTTCTGAGAGAATTATTTGAGGTGGGCATTATTTATTTCATAAATGTTTGGTAGAATTCACTAATTAACCAGCTGGGTTTGAAATTGGGGATTCAATTTATTCAATGAATAGAGGGCTATTCTGAATTTAAAATTTATTTATTTTTCTTGAGGCACTTTTGGTTATTTGCATCTTTCAAAGAATTTGTCCATTTCATTCAAACTTCAAATTTATTGGTATAGTAGTCTATTTTTAATGCCTGTAAGATGTATAATAATATCCCTTTTTTTCGTTCTTAATAGTAGTAATTTCTCTTTTTTTCTTGATCAATTTAATTAGAGATTTGTCACTTTTATCAGACTTTTATAAAAAAGTTATGTTAATGTTGATTTTGGTCACGCTATGAGATCTTTACTGGATATATCACTAGAATTATTAGATATAATTGATTTTATTTTTATTTATTAATTTTTTATTACATTTATTTCTCCTCTATTATGTTTTCCTTTGACTTACTTTAGGTTAAGGCTGCCCCTCCCTCAAACACCTTTTTTGAGACCCAAAGGTTTATTTTGAGACACACTCAAGAGAGTGGGCTCTCTCAAGGGTAAGAAGCTTTGGGGGAAAAACAAAGTTACACTTTCAAGGGAGAATGAAGGTCAGCTGGAGAGGAGGAGACAGCAACCCCTTGCTATGGATGTCAGTATTTATAGAGAGATGGTTGCTAAGGGCTGGACTAGAGGCAGAGTTACACAGTTTGCACCAGTTTTGGCAGTGTTCATCCATTGCCCTCATGTTACTTTTGTAGGGAAGGCATGGGTCAAGTGCTTTCCCTTTTTGTAAAAAATAGCTTTTTAATATGAAAGTTTTCCTATGGCTGTCCACATTTTGTAGTGTCTCTTTTTTCTTTTCAGCTCCTCCAACCTTTTTATTTCTCAATGTTAGATGTCAGATTTCTGCAGTTCCATGTCTTATTCTAATAAAATTAGTATGACAGTTTTTCAACATGGAAGAAATTATCTTGAATGATGCCTTTTTTTTTAAATAATTTGCACTAATGTGGTCAATGGGCTTATGGCAGCAATAAGTATCAGGGGAGATTAGTTTAGACTGTATTAGGATCTATAATAATTGTTAGATGAAATTTCAGCTCTTTCTGGGGGCTGAAGTGGGTGTGTGGTTCTGGGAACATCCCATATAGCCATAAAAGTGCTGAATTGTGGTATCATTCCTTCACTACAAGGTAGAATTAGTCTTTTGCTCAGCTTGTCTTCCTTGATGTTAATGTTGAGTTTGGTCATGTCATCAGATCTTCAGTGAACATATTATTCACCAGAATTTTTATGGATAAAAATCAGTTTTGCCCCATTCATTTGAATGTTTTCATGGGAGGGCTTGTAACTAGTCATATTTAAGTTGAATTTGTCTTTAAACTCCAAATAGGCCTGTCTGTCTGAGTTGATGGACTTGAATAGTGTCAAATGTTTGAGGGCTGTTGATCTTTCCAATAGTAAAAGTGGAGATGAAGAGCCAGGGAGAAATGTCTTTCAGGGAGATGAAACAAACCCATCAGAGTCGATGATGATTAAGTTGTTTCACGCTTTCATGGGATTGAGATGTAGTAGGGAACCTTTTTTGTTCTCATATCTAGTAAATCAGGTTCTGATAATTTCAGTTGGAGGATATAGAGGTATGTTTTGCCTTAAGTGTAATTTCTAGTGCCTGGGTATTTGGGGAGCATATCTGCTCCTTTATGTTACTTACTGAGTGGTTCATCTTCATTTCAATCATTAGTCTACTAAGATAACCTCTGAGTTGCTTCTTATGTTCTTCCTCAAGGCCCCAGCAGGCCCATTAATCTTTCCATTTCCATTTCTTTTTTTGTCCTAATCTCATATTTCAGAAATCACTCATAGACTCCCACATCATATCAAGGTAGGAAAACCTTGAAGACTGAGATCTTTATCACCTTTATATTTTATGCAAATATTCCTCCTCTAGGGTCTTATATTTTTATAATACTACACAGGAAAGGAAACTGGGGTCCTTTCTGTTCTTATTTAATGTAAACACTTCTGGGGTTTGACTAAACCCCACCAAAAAGCACAGGGCTTAGCCACCAAGTTCCACTTTCCCAGGGCTCACCTATATTTGGGCACTTAATCCTTTCCTCCAACACTCATCTTTTTTTTTTAAATCAACTTTAAAAAAATTTGTTCTAATTAATGCCAGTACTCATCTTACAATGTATTTTTGCTACTCTGAAGTTTTATGTATTTTCTACATTTCTTCTTTGATATATTGCTTACTTTCCAAAGTTTTGGGACTTTTTTGCAGTTGTTGTTCTGTTTGGAGCTTTTCCAGATATGTTGTTGTTATTGATTTCTAATTCAATTGTTGCAGAATATATGCTTGGTAAAATTTAAACTTTTGAAATTAAGTCTTATAATAAGGCCCAATGTATGGCTTATCTTAGGTAATTTTCTATGTGGACATATATATTGTTAGGTATAGTGTTTTATAAGTAGCAATTAAATGAGATAGTTGGTAATGTTGTTGTTCTGTATCCTTAGTAGTCGTCCCTCCTCCCCCGATTCTGTTAATTTTTGAGTAAGGCATGTTAAAATTTCTGACTATGAATTGTGTATTTATTTATTTATAACTTTAACTATTACTTATTTTTTATAAAAAAGTTTTACAGTGACTACGTAAGGCTTTATTTCTGTTTTGCCTTTTTTGGGCTGGATAATCTTATGATTTCTAATTATTTGGGGGAAAGTTATATGGCATAGTAAATAAGTATATGTAATCCTAATTTTAGGGTTGTTTTCAGATTTTTTTTTGGTGCTGTAGATCAAGCCAGCATACTACTCTGATGTACACTTAAAAAACCTGTAAAATTTAATAGGACAACTGTAAATTTGCTCAATTTAAGCTTTTATTGGTGTCATATATGGGACGATAAGACATGATGTGTTAAATGGTATGATAAGAGTTTAATGCCTTTTCTGTTTAGACCTTTAAATATCAGGGAGTTACTGTGTCCTATGAACCTGATAACTTTCACCATCTTTTCTAGGGTTGTTTTTTTTTTTTTTTTTTTAAGAGAGTAAAAGCATATTTCTGAGACTAAAAGTTAGCAAGTTTCAAGATACAAATACAGTTCTATTATTATATTAATACCCAACTTGAAATATGTGACTAGTATGTCTTTAAACAACTTTACTTTAGCATATTACTGAATTTATGCTAGTTTTAAATTTATACTAATTACATTGGAAAGAGTATGCTTTCTAGAAATTTTTATTTTGCATCTAGTTTTGACTTTTAAAATGGTTGATTTTTAATGTGTATGTGTTTTTTAATGTGTAATATGCATGATTTCATGTCTTTTTAGTTTACATAAAAGGCTGTAGTTTATATCTTCACTGATTCATTCTTGTAGCTTATTCATTCTGGTATAAAAAGGCTATATTAGAGGACAAATGATAACAAATCACTCATGTTAATCAGCCAGGTTGTATGTAGGGTTAAATAAGTAATTTGTTTTCTGTTTTTGAAATAAAATATTTCTTTTATTTTTTCTCTGTAATAACTATTTTGATGTTTAAGACCTATCAAACACATCTTATATTTTATGTTTTCAAGAAAGGAGGCAAATTTTCCTATGTGCTTAGGAACTGACACACTGAATTAGGTGCTTTAGGCTGCATGGAAAACCTTTCTGTTTTTGTAAACCCTATAAAGTTTGCAATATGCAGTTTGCTTTGAGGCTCTATTGTGGTAGACAAGACTGGATTAAGTCAGGAGGCTTAAAGGGTTTTGATTTTACTACTTAGTTATTTAACTAGGGGAAGTCTTCTACATCTGCTAAATGATTTGGTCAGATGTTTTAAGGTATTTTTCAGTTGCAATTTTATGAAATTAAATTATTTTTACTTATGAACTATATACAAGAAAACTTAAGAGCTCAGTAATTATTTATGATTAAGTTTGAAGAGTGCAGTATGCATTATTTAAAAAAAATTTTTTTCTTAAATGTCTAGTGTATCCACTACAAAATTGGATCTACAGAAAAAATCTGAAGCCCTTGAAAATATTAAGCAAATGATTACCAAGAAAGAAGAAGAAAAAATGATCCTGAAACAAGAAATTGAAAAGTTAAATCAAGATGCAAAGATGCAGCACAAGGAATTAAATAACAGAATTCAAGGAACAGTAACAGAATTGAAAGAAGTGAAGATGGAGAAAGAAACTCTAATGACAGAGCTTTCTACAGTGAAAGAGAAATTATCAAAAGTTTCTGATTCTTTGAAAAACTCCAAAAGTGAATTTGAAAAGGAGAATCAGAAAGGAAAAGCTGCCATATTAGATTTGGTTAGTTGTTTACATTTATTTTCTTAGGTAAAAGTGATATCTTATTTTAAATGTACTTTTTTTTTTTTTTTTTGCTTAATTTACTGTTGACTATATCTCCCATCCCATGTGATTATTTCTTAATCTATTGGTTTAACATTTTATTTTTAAAACTTTCTTGTTTCCATTTTCTTAAAACACATTGTTCTACTTTAAAAATGGAAAAACTAATTGTAAGCATTGTAAAATGTGGTTTCCAAAGTGTTCTAAAATATTCTCTAAATTATTTTATTGTGACTATTAGTTGCTGCTAGAAACTCTAAGCATGTTGTTTCTTCCCCTTTACTCCTATTATATTCACCTGTTTTTATCATGGGAATGGATAAGCCTGTCCCATGCTTTTAGGTTACTTTCTTATATGTATCTTACTAAGCTTATAAAACAGACTATTTAAGGTCATTACAAATATTTTCTGTGTAATATAGTTTCTCCCTTTTTAGGAAAAAACTTGCAACGAATTAAAACATCAACTTCAAGTACAAACAGAAAGCACACTAAAGGAACAAAATGAATTGAAAAAGTCACTTGAAAAGGAGAAGGAGGTAAATTTTAAAATTAATATTTGTGTTCTACATACCACTGAAAAAATTTAAGCTAGTTTAAAATAAGAGACCAAAATAAAGAAATGTAATTCATAAAAGTAGAAAATTGGGTCAATTAATGATAGTTATAGTTAGATAATTTAGGTTAAGAAACACTATTGTGGCTAAAAAAAATCTTAATAGACTTTCCATAGAAATGACTTTTTAAGAAGTATTTGTTTCATGAAAATTCATATTAATGATATATTGATAATGATTAGGTAATGGTCAAGAGATATTTCTATGGTTAATGCTTCTGTTGTTCTCTAGCTAAACACACAAGCAAATGAGTAAATAAATGGGCATAAAGTTTAGTTGTTACTCTTTGAAGAAATAACTTTTAGCAGCTGGAGTCAAGTATGCAGCTTTCTAGAAAATCTGATTTGATAATTTGTGGTCCTGACGAATGTGTGATATTATTGTATTTTGTTTTTTAATTGATAGAAGATATTTGCTTTATAGATTGCTAGCCATGTAAGTGGTGAAGTAATAGTGGTTTTGTGTCTAAACTGTGAATCAAAATTGTCCAAATTTATATCCAGGCTATGCCATTTATTAGCTATGCCATTTTTTCATGTTTGACAACTTAGAGAATGAAACTGCACTTTCCTTAATAATAAAGTGGGGCCAAATATAATAAAATCTATGTCATGAAGTTATTGTTAAAAATAAATGGGTTACAGTAAATGAATGGAACTTGAGAATATTATGCTAAGTGAAATAAGCCAATCCCAAAGGACCAAAGGCCAAGTGTATCCTCTGATATTCGGATGCTAATTCACAGTAAGTGGGGGAGGGCAGAGAATAGAGGTACTTTGAATTAAACAAAGGGGAGTGAAGGGAGGCCAGGGGCTCTGGGGGTAGGAATGATAGTAGAATGAATCAGACAGTGCATATATGATTACATGACCTATGTAACTCTACATCATGTACAATCAGAAGAATGAGAAGTTATACTCCATATAAGTATGATGTGTCAAAATGCATTCTACTGTCATGTTATAACTAATTAGAGCAAATAAAAAAAATTAAAAAGATAAATGGGTTAATATATTTGAAGTACAGAGAATGCTGATTATAACAAAGTGTTCATATTTTAGTTATTGTTTTATTATTGGTAATCACTATATAATCCTTATTGTTATACTGATTTCTGTTTTGAACAAAAATATTAGGCTCTACACTGGAAATAAACTGAGGCGTCTGTATATAGCACTGAAACTTTTTCAAAAGTAACTTTGAATATGGCTAAATGCCCAAAGGTGATTCCTGGTTCTTAAAAAAGTATGCGTAAAACATGAAAATACAGCTGTGTCTGGAAAAGTAGGAAATAGTAATAGCTCAGCTTGACTGCACAAGATCTTCAGGATGACTTCTACATAATATCTAATTTTGAACAGAAACATCCTAGTGGATTATAAAAACAAAGTAGTAGCAAAATATGCCCCAGGTCTCTAAAGAACTGTTGTACAGTTTAATTTAATATCATTAGATACTGAAATAATTGTTAAAAATACATTTTAGTTTCATCAAAAAAAATAGACAGAATTAAAGAAAATTAATCTTACATGCCATCTAAGTGAAAAGCGTCAGTTGTAAAAACAACATGAAGGCAGGGATAGTTCTCTTTTGTTAATTACTAATTATTTGTGGCCAACAGACTCAGTAGTTTCTACCTAGAGGAATGTACAGCATGTAGTAAGAACTCAGTAAATGTGTTTTAATGAATAAATGAATATCAGATATTTCATTTTCTTCTAGACTTCTCATCAGTTGAAATTGGAACTGAATTCTACTAAGGGAGAAGTCATACAGGCTCAAAATACTTTAAAACAAAAGGAAAAAGAGGAGCAGCAGCTTCAGGGGAACATAAACGAACTAAAGCAATCAACTGAACAAAAGAAAAAGAAAATTGAAGCACTTCAAGGAGAAGTTAAAATTGCTCATTCACAGAAGGTATTGTAAGAAATTTGTTTACTTTTTGTAGGAAGTAGGCAACTAAGATAACATGATTAATACAGATGAGTTGCAGCACAGGAAAGTTGATATATGCTCCAATTTTTCTAAGTTATTACATTTGATTATATGAGTAAATCTGTAAGTCTGGATTTCCATTCACCATAACCATGTTATCAGATAATTCCTCCTTTAAATTCTGGTACTAATCACTTGTCTGATAGACATGAAACTGCCTTTTTGTAAAATAACATAACTACCAATTAATGTCAATGCAATTACGTAAGTCACATTTCTAGCGTATAAGAAAAATTTAAGGGAATTCAAAACAAATCATCTTTATTAAGAAAAAGTAATAAAGAACAAAAATCAGTAGTATGAGATTTCACATGGCATATTTGATATTTTAAATAATTTCATAATGGTTTCCATTTCCAATAAGAAATGCACAATTTATTGTTAAGCACCTCTTTTTCATTCTTAAATATGTCTTAGTACTTAGAGCTTTCCCCTGTGTCTTATATATATGAATTGGTCTTGGAGAAGAGAGACATAGACTCCCTACGATGGAGAATAAACAAAATGTCATGCCATTAAGAGTTGGCTGTCATACTGTTAGAGTAAAAAGAATCCAAATTTAAAAACTGTGATTTTCCATTTTATGTTGATCAGTGTTTTTGTAGCTCTTATGGAACTTTACAACAGAATAGTTTTCCAGTAATATAAGCAAGAGTAGACAAATTTTATTATAACAGATAATCAGAAGTCAGGGTGTAATTACCACAGTGTGCATATTTATTGCATCTTAGATATCTTAGGTCTTTTTTGTTTTTCAAAATCTTCTAGCTTCATATTCCTAAGTACTTCCTGAGAAGTTTTTTTTTTCTTTTTTTGTTAGAAGTTTGTTTTTATAGCATTATAACAGTGAATTTTTAAAAAAAATATAGCTATTTTAACATGTTTTTGTTTTCATTAAGTTATTAGATAAAATTTCTTTCTGATTTTTGAATTAAATATATTGACTTTTATATTAGTACATGAGTGCTAGAATAAGGAATCTATTTCTTAACTTTGAGGAGGGCAGCAGCCTTTTGAACTTTTGGGGAGCGCTAGATTCATAGTCTTCATAAGTTAGACTTGGAATTTAGAGTAACCAACTGGAGAATCTTTGTCAGGCTGAAACAGTTTGTGTTTGTTGAGGATCAGTGTAGCATCATGGTACAATAAATTTTAGAGCTAGGTAGATCTGAATTTAAATTTAGCTTATTGAGTTTTTTGTTATGTGATTTGACTGAATAGAAATAAAGGAGCAAGCGAGGAAAGCACTGAAATACTTGCAATAATCTAGATAGTAAAAGATGATGTGAACTGAAGTGTTAGAAATGAATGGTTTAGGAATACGTTTTAGAAGTTGAGTTATTGAGACTTTCTGATAGATTAGATGATGAGAGGTAATGGAAAGGGAAATCAGGGATAACTATATTTGGGTCTGTGTTCATGGATAGTTGGTAGTAGCTTTAAAAAAATTTTTTTTTTTTTTTTTTGTAATTGTAGATGGACAGCATGCCTTTATTTTATTTGTTTATTTATTTTTTAATGTGGTGCTGAGGATCAAACCCAGTGCCTCACACGTGCAAGGCAAGCACTCTGCCACTGAGCTACAGCTCCAGCCCCAGCCACAGCCTTTGGATATGTAGGGTTGCTGTGAGAAATCAAGTGTCCTAGTTGAGATAGATATCTATGGATCATTCAGATGGAGAGGTCAGGAAGGTGCTTATATATAAGAGCCCAGAGTTTAGATGGAGAGTTAGAGCTGGAACATAATTTTGGTAGTTACTTATAAATAAAAGGTACTTAAAGACTTGGGTCTGTTTGAGATCGTCAAAGGAGAGAGAATACATAGAATAATAGAGAGCCAATTGTAGCTGGGAAGGAAAAACTTTATTGATCATTGTGCTCCACTATAACTCAGAAGACAGGTTGCCAAGAGAAAATAGATTTTATTCAAAGCTAGTCTTGCGGAATATAGAGGAGAACTTTTTCTTCCTCAAATCTCCATCTTCAGGGACTCAGAGGCACAGAAAGCTTTTGTAAAGAGGAAAGGAGGCACAGGGAAACTAAAGGCAGGAATTCTACGTATGTTCATATAGTTAGGCTGTGTTAATCAGAAGTATGTTGCCATCTCAAGTGCCCATTAGGGCCTGGGGTGGGGGCAGCCTCTCAGCCTCCATTCTTAGTATCAGGTAGTTCAGTTTGCAAATTATAACAGTTTGGTGCTTTTAATTCCAAAGGGTTATGTTTCACAACGACCACAACTTTCGGGTTCAACAACATAGAGATCTAGCAGAAGAAAAGGGATGAGTAAAAGATTTTGAGAAGGCATGACCAGTAAGGTAAAAGAACCCCAAACACAGGATCCTCTGGAAACCAGGTTGAAGAAAATGCTTTTAGAAGGGGATATAATTAACTCTATCAATTAATGCTAAGAGAGAGGTCAAGTAAAATGTGGACAAAGATAAGACTATTGGATTTCAGAACATGGGGAACACTGATGACTTCAATAGCCATTTCGTTAAAGTAGTATATATATTTTGTAGAATTTTTAATTGACACATAACAACTATACATATTATGGGGTACAATATGGTGATTCCATACATGAATATGATATTTAAATGATCAAATTAATACTTCTGTCTCCTTAAATATTTATCATTTCTTCAAACTCCTTTCTTCTAGTTTTTTAATAAATTGTTGCAAATTATAGTCGCCCTACTGTGCTATAGAACACTAGAATTTAGTCCTCCTGCCTGTCCAATCTCTATCCTCCCTCCTCTACCCCTGTTTATCTTTCCTAGCCTCTAGTGACCACTCAACTGTTCTCTGCTTCTATGATAAGTCGTGTATTTATTTAAGTGCTTATTTTTCATTTTATACATATATTTTAATTGTCATAAGTTGTGCATATCTGTGTCCTTTTTTTTCCCTAGGGATTGAATCCAGCTATACACTTAGCTCTTTTTTAGACAGTATCTTGCTAAGTTGCTCAGGTTGGCCTCAAACTTGCCATCCTCAGTCTGTCACCTCACTGGGATTACAGGTGTGGGTCACTGTACTCAGTATCTACCAAATATTCTTAAAGACTGAAAAGAAGTTGATTTTAGAGATGTTTTGATTTTTTTTTTAATTTTTTATTGTTGGTTGTTCAAAACATTACAAATTTATTGATATATCATATTTCACACTTTGATTCAAGTGGGTTATGAACTCCCATTTTTACCCCATATACAGATTGCAGATTACATCAGTTACACATCCATTGATTTACATATTGCCATACTAGTGTCTGTTGTGTTCTGCTGCCTTTCCTATCCTCTACTATCCCCCCTCCCCTCCCCTCCCCTCCCCTCTTCTCTCTCTACCCCCTCTACTGTCATTCATTTCTCCCCCTTGTATTATTTTTCCCTTTCCCCTCACTTCCTCTTGTATGTACTTTTGTATAACCCTGAGGGTCTCCTTCCATTTCCATGCAATTTCCCCTTCTCTCTCCCTTTCCCTCCCACCTCTCATCCCTGTTTAATGTTAATCTTCTTCTCCTGCTCTTCGTCCCTACTCTGTTCTTAGTTACTCTACTTATATCAAAGAAGACATTTGGCATTTGTTTTTTAGGGATTGGCTAGCTTCACTTAGCATAATCTGCTCTAATGCCATCCATTTCCCTGCAAATTCTATGATTTTGTCATTTTTTAATGCAGAATAATACTCCATTGTGTATAAATGCCACATTTTTTTTTATCCATTCATCTATTGAAGGGCATCTAGGTTGGTTCCACAGTCTAGCTATTGTGAATTGTGCTGCTATGAACATCGATGTAGCAGTGTCCCTGTAGCATGCTCTTTTTAGGTCTTTAGGGAATAGACCGAGAAGGGGAATAGCTGGGTCAAATGGTGGCTCCATTCCCAGCTTTCCAAGAAATCTCCATACTGCTTTCCAAATTGGCTGCACCAATTTGCAGTCCCACCAGCAATGTACAAGTGTAC